AGGTCAATCAAACTGCCAAAGGGGGACCCAAAGGGGTAAGGGGAAGATAGTGGTTGCAAGGAAGGGTGTAGGTCGAAAGTGAGGCACAACAAGGCTATAAAAGCCCCTGGAAAAATCAAGGGAGAAAAATGACCACATCAGGCAGGATCCAGGGTTTTACAGAGGGTGGGCAATGGGGAGGAAGAAAAAGGGCAAAATCATGTTTTCCAGGGGTTCAGGAGAGAGAGGAAAGGCACACACTGAAAGGAAGCAGGGAAAAAGGAAAGGAGATTTAGAAATCATCAGGAATAGGTGAAAAAGGTTTGGGCGGGGATTTTAAATTTTAGAGAATGGGGGTACTCGAAGGGGAGAAACCGCCAATCAAGCTGATTCTCGGACGGAAACAGTGCGGAACGGTCCCCAAGAGAAACCACGATTTAAAAACTCGGAAGAGTACAAGAGGGGTTCCTAGACAGAGACAGAACAAAAAAGAAAAGACAGCAGTGGGGAGAGGACAAAAAAAAAAAGAAAGGGGCTAGGGAAAAAAAGAAAAGGGGGGAATCAGCAGAGGTCAGTCAGACAGGACAGAACAGCAAGGGCAAGCACACAACATACTTCGAACCATACAACCCTTTACACCATCCCCAAAAACACCTACAATCCTACCCCCCAGCCTCCACCCCAAAACGGCTATGAAACCCCCAGATGCCCCAGGTCTCCCCCCCCCACAGGCCCCCCCCAAACCACAGTGTTTGGGAAAAGGGAAATGAAGGTTTGTACACAAACGTGATGGGAAACAATAAGTGGGAGGAGTGGCACGAAAGGGTCAAAGAAGCTCACCGGACTTAGCTCTTACAGAAAACAAGCTTAATGTATGAAACAGATGCCATCTTTCCCAAAGGGATACCAATCCTGGGAAAGCAGAGGGAAAAAGGGGGGGTGGAGGAGTGGCGTTGTGTCAAAAAAAGCTGGTTTTTTTATGGCGGGGGAGAGGAGATAGCGGAGAAAAAAGTGATTTCATGTGGGAAAAATTCCTCTGGAGGTCCAAAGGGGGTAATAGCAGTGATGTATAACCACCCAGAACACAGGGGCCCAAGGGAAGAGTAGACGAGGCAAAAGGCGATGGTTGACACATGGCTAGATGGCCAGAAGGCTCAGCATGCAGGCAAAGCTCTGCATGGGTGACTTTAACCACAAGGGATGATTTGGGGGAACTTGGACCCACATGGGGGCCAAGTACATGGAGGGTAAGATGATGGAGGTGGTACTGGAGAATTCATGTACCAAAGTAAGGGACACTACAAGAGAGAGAGGAGGGGTGAACCGCAAGGGTGGGTTAGTATTCCCTCAGTAGTGCTTTTGAGGCTGATTGAAAAACCCCTTGGGGCCGGACCATGTGGTTTTAAGCTTGAAACACAGTGGCTAAGTGAGGGGGAAAGGGAGGAAGGCCGGACGAATGAAACCAAACTACAAGAAAAGGGGGTAACAGGAAAGAGGGGGAATACCTGAACGGGGTTCAGTGGAACAGAGAACTGGGGGGAAACCAGTTAATGGATGATGGAATATGTAGCAACAAAGCAAGGGGGCTGAGGAGAGGTTGTACCAAAGGGGAACGGAGTAATGAAAAAGCCAGGGTGAGCCCCTGTTTACCCAAAGGGGCAGGGGGAAAAACCCAAGTGTGCTAGGGGAAAGGAAGAAAATATAAGGCAAAGGACCCAGGAGAATAAGGAGAAGCAGTCGTTAGAGCCAGAAACGAATTGCACAGATAAGAAGGGAGGCCAAAGACAATATGAAAATGACATAGCAGCGAAAGCCAAATCTGCCCACATCAGGAGGAAAACAACAGTCAAGGACCAGGTAATCAGGCTAAGGAAGGAAGGAGGAGAGACAACAAGAAATGACCGTGAAGTATGTGAGGAAACTCAACAAGATTTCAAAGAAGTGTTCACAGAGGAGACAGAAGGGCTCCAGAAAGACGGAGAGGTGGGGGCACACCACCATGTGCTGGACACAGTGCACACAACCGAGGAAGAAGTGAAGAGGCTTCTGAGTGAGCTAGATACCTCAAAGGCAATGGGGCCAGATAACATCTCCCCATGGGTATTGAGAGAGGGAGCAGAGGCGCTATGTGTACCCCTAACAACAATATTCAATACATCTATCGAACAGGGAGATTGCCTGAGGCATGGAAGACAGCAAATGTAGTCCCAATCTTTAAAAAGGAGACAGACATGAGCATTAAACTACAGACCAGTGTCACTGACATGTATAGTATGCAAAATCATGGAGAAGATTATCAGGAGAAGAGTGGTGGAACACCTAGAAAGGAACGATCTCATCAACAGCAGCCAACATGTTTCAGGGACGGGAAATCCTGTGTCACAAACCTACTGGAGTTCTATGACATGGTGACAGCAGTAAGACAAGAGAGAGAGGGGTGGGTGGATTGCATTTTCTTGGACTGCAAGAAGGCGTTTGACACAGTTCCACACAAGAGATTGGTGCAAAAACTGGAGGACCAAGCAGGGATAACAGGGAAGGCAACTACAATGGATCAGGGAATACTTGTCAGGAAGACAGCAGCGAGTCATGGTACGTGGCGAGGTGTCAGAGTGGCACCTGTGACCAGCGGGGTCCCACAGGGGTCAGTCCTAGGACCAGTGCTGTTTCTGGTATTTGTGAACGACATGACGGAAGGAATAGACTCTGGAGGTGTCCCTGTTTGCAGATGACGTGAAGTTGATGAGAAGAATCACTCGATCGAAGACCAGGCAGAACTACAAAGGGATCTGGACAGGCTGCAGACTGGTCCAGCAATTGGCTCCTGGAGTTCAATCCCACCAAGTGCAAAGTCATGAAGATTGGGGAAGGGCAAAGAAGACCGCAGACGGATGTACAGTCTAGGGGCCAGAGACTACAAACCTCACTCAAGGAAAAAGATCTTGGGGTGAGTATAACACCAGGCACATCTCCTGAAGCGCACATCAACCAAATAACTGCTGCAGCATATGGGCGCCTAGCAAACCTCAGAACAGCATTCCGACATCTTAATAAGGAATCATTCAGGACCCTGTACAACCGTGTACGTTAGGCCCATATTGGAGTATGCGGCACCAGTTTGGAACCCACACCTAGCCAAGCACGTAAAGAAACTAGAGAAAGTGCAAAGGTTTGCAACAAGACTAGTCCCAGAGCTAAGAGGTATGTCCTACGAGGAGAGGTAAGGGAAATCAACCTGACGACACTGGAGGACAGGAGAGATAGGGGGGACATGATAACGACATACAAAATACTGAGAGGGAATTGACAAGGTGGACAAAGACAGGATGTTCCAGAGATTGGACACAGTAAACAAGGGACACAGTTGGAAGCTGAAGACACAGATGAATCACAGGGATGTTAGGAAGTATTTCTTCAGCCACAGAGTTAGTCAGTAAGTGGAATAGTTTGGGAAGCGATGTAGTGGAGGCAGGATCCATACATAGCTTTAAGCAGAGGTATGATAAAGCTCACGGCTCGGGGAGAGTGACCTAGTAGCGATCAGTGAAGAGGCGGGGCCAGGAGCTCGGACTCGACCCCCGCAACCTCAACTAGGTGAGTACTACTAGGTGAGTACACACACACACCACACACACACATAACATCACACACCCACCACACAAACCTACAACCACACACACGGGGCCAGGAGCTAGGACTCGACCCCTGCAACCACAAATAGGTGAGTACACACACAGTGCAAACGCTAGAGGAGCTGGCAGGAATAACAGAAAAGGCACCGCAATGGGTCAAGGAATACATGACAGGAAGGAAACAACGAGTGATGGTACGTGATGAGGTGTCAGAGTGGGCGCAATTGACGAGCTGGGTACCTGAAGGGTCAGTCCTAGGGCCGGTGCGGTTTCTGGTATATGTAAATGACATGACGGAAGGGATAGATTTGGAGGTGCCCCTGTTAGCAGACGATGTGAAGCTAATGTGGATGAGGATCAGGCAAGACCACAAAGGAATCAGGACAGGATGAAAGCCTGGTCCAACAATTGGCTCCTGGAGTTTAACTCCACCAAGCGCAAAATCATGAAGACTGGGGAAGGTCAAAGATCGCAGACGGAGTACACGCTAGGGGTCCAAAGGCTGCAAACCTCACTCAAGGAAAACGATCCTGACTCCCTGAGGTAAGTATAATATCGAGCACATCTCTCGAGAAGCACATCAACCAAATAACTGCTGCAGCATATGGGCGCTGGCAAACCGAATAATATCGTTTCGACATCTAAGTAAAGAATTATTCAAGACACTGTACACCAGTGCCACATTTGTTGCATTTGTGTCCTTTGACTTAACTGTACACCATGTACGTCAAGTCCATATTGGAGTAAGCAGCACCAGTATGGAATCCGTCCCTGGCCAAGCACGTCAAAAAATTAGAGAAAGTGCAAAGGTTTTGCAACAAGACTAGTCCCGGAGCTAGGAGAGGTTAAGGGAAATCAACCTGACGACACTGGAGGACAGGAGGATTGGGGGGGACATGATAATGACATAAAATATTGAGAGGAATTGATAAAGTGGAGAGACAGGATGTTTCAGAGATGGGACACAATAATAAGGGGTCACAACTGGAAGTTGAAAACTCAGATGATTCACAGGAATGTTAGGAAGTATTTCTTTAGCAACAGAGTTGTCAGGAAGTGAAACAATCTGGAGAGTGATGTAGTGGAGGTAGGATCCATACATAGCTTTAAGAAGAGGTACGATAAAGCTCATAAGAGCAGAGAGAGTGAGCCTAGTAGCGACCAGCGAAGAGGCGGGCCTAGGAGCTGTGAATCGACCCTTGCAATCACAAATATGTGAGTACAACACACACACACACACACACACACACACACACAACACCACACACACACAACACAACACACAACACACACACACACACACACACACACACACACACACACACACACACACACACACACACACACACACACACACACACACACACACACACACACACACACACTTACTCAAATTTGGCTGACTTGTGGTCAGTAGCGACGAGCGTCCAGCGGGAATCTCGGGTCACCAGCTGCTGCTGCACCGCCTGTAAGATCACAAAGGGTCAGTGGGGTGCCACAGGGAGTAACTGGTCATACGGTGCTTGTGAAGGCCACACAGTCATTGGTCATATGGGGTCAGTGGTCAAAAGGAGTCACTGAAGATCACAATGGGTGACTCATGCTCACAAGGATTCAGCCAGGATTATTTACACATTTTCTTGGTGCATTTAGTATGTTAATGTATATAACAAAATGAACAAAGATATTACCCACTAACAGATATTATTAGGTATCCCCGAAAATGAACCTGTAAGCAGTTGTCTTAGTTTTGTTTTTTCTTCCAACTTTTCGATTTTATTTCGCTAATAACTCAAGAATGCCTCATTCAATCGGCTTCAAATCTTCAACACTTGTGTACGGCAAAGAGCACCAAGTTACTGGAGCAATTGGCATGTTCAAGTGCCCTATGACCCAAGTTGTTGAACCCATTTCAGCATCACAGTCCCGTGGCTCGGTTGATAGCACTCAGCTCACATGCTCAATGTCTGTGGTTCGATCCCCAGCACGAGGTGGCTAACCTTCCCCCGGATTAAATATCCAAACACATCTTATTTCATCCTAAAATGACTCTGATAACTTCCAAAATACTTAGTAATATAGCCGCATTATAGCGTCAAACGTTCAAAAAAAGTACCCAAAATTCGACGACTGCTGAGAGTGAAATTCAGATGTGTAGGTACAAATTTTACCATTTTATGTGTAAAATACTATTTTTTTTTTTAGTAGATCACGTTAAATCATTTTCAGTTTACCTCTTCTGAACGGTTTAAATATTTAATGGATGATGCATCTTAAGGCCAGAATAATATCTATCAAGTTTTGTTTACGTGCAAGAAACTATTGATGTTGGAATCAATGTCATGACATGAGAATGACCTATCTGATCGATATTCTTAAAAAAAAATTATATTCATTTTATATTTAATAACCAAAGAATGCTTCTGACTTCAAAATATTATTGACGATTCTATAAGAAGGATGATAACCCTTAAGTTCAGTCCAAGTAGGACCAAATTTGAAATTTTACTGAAATCTTTAAAAAACCTGTAATCAGATCAATTACTGGAAAATGTCTTGTCAAATGATCGTTTTCAATTTATTACCAACAGTCACCTTAAGAGTTGGCATGACCCACCTTGGAGAACAAGCTGATGAGGTCCTGCATGGGTCCCAAGATGACGTAGTAGGCTGGGGAAGGTCTCATCTTCTTAAGTGTGTTCGTGGTGGAATCATCGACGCCAGTCAACACGATCACCCTCACTACTGACCCTTCCACCAGGTAGTAGAGAGCCTGGTCCACCTCTGTCGCAACACACACAACACTGCTTTTACTGATGTGTACAACACCCGGAAGTACAGCTCCTTGGCCCATCTCTGTTGTCGTAATACATACACACACATACATATTGCCTTTACTTATACGTACAGATAGGTAGCGGCGTATGGTCAAGCCTCCAGTGACAAGAAATGAAAAAAGTCATATATAGCTGTGTTAAATTAGGTAAGGGTAGGCTAAATTAAGTTTGTTTTCCTGATTCAAGCCTCGCTACTCCTTGCTACAAAAGCCTGAGTGATGTTATTTTCTGTTTTTTTATCAAGTGGTCTCCTCCTTCTCCTGTATCTTCAATCCTCCCTCTTGTTATCTTTTTACTGTCTCTCCTTCTTACTCTTCCCTCATGTCTTCCACAACTCTCCTTTGTCTCTTCTAATTCTGTTAGTTTGTGCTCAGTGGTATTATTGTTATCTTTGCCGGTTATGTGTTCACACTGTAGATAAAAGTTCAGAAGACGTTTCGATCCATCCTCGATCATCATTTAACCACAATTTTTCTTCAGGACAGCCCAAAACATTGCTTAAATTTCCCTCTAAAAATTGCGAATTACTTGTGAATTTTTCCAGCCACGGTATTGTGATTTTATTATTAATAATTTATTTTATACAATTTGCTTATTCAAAACCGCTCTTCGTGCATCAGTATTTTAATTTGATCATGTATATGCGCATTTTATATGGATCTATTTTCCGATTTTTTTAGTTGATGTTTATATTTATTCGTTTAGATATTTTAATTTCAATTATTTTCCTAGCATCCCTAATGTTATATTTGTCTTCCATCGTCTCTTCTTGACTGGCTTTACCTCCATTATCATCTATTCCTCGTTATCTTTCACCTTTCTTTCGCCTCACTCTTCTTTCACCTTCATCAACGACCCTCACCTGTTCACCGGATAATTGCACTTTACAGCTGCTACTTACCATTATCAACCTTCACCTAACTCACTTACACTTACTACTTATCTTTATCATATACAGACTACAAAGGTATGATGAATGTCCTGTGACGACGAAATTGTTAATGCTAATTACATTCGACCAGTTATTGACTATCATCATAGGAAGGTTGAAGACATAGTTAATGATAACTGGACGGGCTTCCAGCTTCTCTGCAAAATATTAACACGATTTTTTTATCACACACCTCAAAAATTTAATTTGTGTTGACATTAGCTTTGGATGTAAAAATTATAGGCAGGTGCGGCCCGTCCATAAAGGGGAGCTAGACAGTCGTCTAGGGCACCAAATTAAATGAGAAGCCAAATTCCTGGAAAATAATAATAAGAATCTCATCTTAGATCTGCCAGTGGTGTTCAGTGGTTGGGGCGCTGATTGCATGGTTAACCCAGGGCACCAGTTGCTGGTAGTTAATTCAGGCCAGCCTCTCAGTCCTGCGATTTTTTTTTTTTTTTTTGGGGGGGGGGGTAATACGATAAACAGCTGTGGTGTTCAATCACAGGGATATTTATGCAAAAGATAGGATACAGGATACAGGCAGGACACAGGATAAAGGTAGGACACACTGGATACAGGTAGGAAACAGATGGGATAGTATAAAAAAATACGAAGAGAAAATGCTTACTGCAAGAAGGAAGAAAAAACAGGGGTCATATTGTTTATTGGGTTTAGAACCAATAATAACATTGAAATTAAATTAAGTCTTTAATTCGTGTGTCATTTGAGCACAAGGAGCGCTAGAAGCCCCAGCCTCCACCTGCACACACACATGATACTGTGTACATCCATCTCGAGTTCCGGCTACTAACTGTATATATATATATATATATATATATATTATATATATTATATATATAAATATATATTATATATATATAAACATGATCTCTGGTGAAGGAACTCGAACCATACGAACTTAGGACAAGTACGCAGTGCTTTACAAATTACCACACTGGACCAATACCTTGGCGTGTAGCATGCGTACACGTATGTATACAGGCAGCAGCATCAGTGAAAGGCTTACAGCTTTTCATCTCATCCCTCACTCATCAGCTTATAACGATGTGAACAATGCATATTTCCATGCTCTCGCGAATTCCTTGCATATTTAATGTAACATTAAATATATATACTATATATATTTATATAATATATAATTTATTTTAATATTATATTAAATCTATACAATATATATTATAAAACAACCACTGTGAAAAGATAGCGAAATTTCCAAGCGCTTTCTGACTAATCACTTGTTATGAACTATTAAGTAATTACATCAACGAAGGCAATTAGGTCTTAGACTACCACCTCACATCAACTCCACGATAAAAATCACAATAGCGCGGACAATCTGACCCATAGTAAAATGAACACTGCAGTTTGGTCAGCTGGTCCAATTACAGGCCTCACGAACATTCTCCAAATTAAAATATCTACCCAGAAATTATTATTTGTGGAATTTTTATAAACTCTAACAAATTTATTAATTATAAATGAGTAATATTAAGTCTAAAAAAGGTAATATCAATCATTTTCAAAACTGCTTTTTATGAAACAAGATTATTTGTTTCTGTCAACATGGACTTGCTTGATACTACTTTCTCAATTTTTGAAAATCAATTGGATGGTTAAAATCTCTCACATGAATAAATAGAGCATTGGAATCTTTTCCAGTTCTAATGCTATATTTATGTTGTTTTACTCTAAGTTCGAGATTTTTACCAGTTTGACCGTAATAAACTTTATCGCAAATTTTACAAGGAATCTTACAGACACATCCATCAGCATTTTGGGGGGAATTCTTTGTCAAAAGTTTTTTTACTGTATCAAGATTTTTAAATACAACTTTAATATTAAAAGTCTTAAGAAGAGAAGACATATCAACCAAGTTTTCATGATAAGGGAGAACCAACATATTTTTAGTTGAATAAGGCTGGTTGTACCTTTTTGGGTTGTAAAAAGTATTTCTCGCAATTTTAAATGATTTATCAATTACATTTCTCGGGTATTTCAGATCATTGGCTATTTCATAAATTTTGGATATTTCTTCATCTATGAACTCTGGACTACAAATACGCATGTAAACTTGGTTGATATGCCTTCTCTTCTTAAGACTTTTAATATTAAAGTTGTGTTTAAAAATCTTGATACAGTAAAAAAACTTTTGATAAAGAATTCCCCCCAAAATGCTGATGGATGTATCTATAAGATTCCTTGTAAAATTTGCGATGAAGTTTATTACGGTCAAACTGGTAAAAGTCTCGAACTTAGATTAAAACAACATAAATATAGCACTAGAACTGGAAGGGAAGTTCCTTGATATTGGTGAGGAAGTCTTGATTTAAGGAACTGAACCTGAGCGGCCCTTCATTGGATCGAACCTGAATGCCTTCTAATCCCCCGGGCGCTGTGATGCCTACGAGTTTAGTGGCCCCCTCCATGAATGAATAATAATAACTGATGGGGAATAATGCTAGAAAGATTTAAAATGACAGACAGACAGGCAATACACACACACACACACACACACACACACACACACACACACACACACACACACACACACACACACACACACACACACACACACACACACACACACACACGCACACACGCACACACGACACACACACACACACACACACACACACACACACACACACACACACACACACACACACACACACACACACACACACACACACACACACACACACACACACACACACGGCTAGAATATGATGAGAGTAACAGAGCGATGGTTGATACACTGGCTGAAGTGGCCAGAAGGGCTCATGAAGGACTCCAAAAAGACGGAGAGGTGGGGTACACCATCAAGTGTTAGACACAATACACACAACCGAGGAAGAAGTGAAGAGACTGCTAAGCGAGCTAGATACCTCAAAGGCGATGGGGCCGGATAATATCTCTCCATGGGTCCTGAGAGAGGGAAGAGAGGAGCTATGCGTACCACTAACAGCAATCTTCAACATATCTATCGAAACAGGGCGACTATCTGAGGTATGGAAGACAGCAAATGTAGTTCCATTTTTTAAAAAAGGGGACAGACACGAAACATTGAACTTTAGATCAGTGTCACTGACAGGTATAGTATGCAAAGTCATGGAGAAAATTATCAAAAGAGTGGTGGAGCACCTGGAGTGGAATGGGCTTATCAACGACAACCAGCACGATTTCAGGGATGGGAAATCCTGTGTCACAAACCTACTGGAGTTCTATGACAGGGTGACAGCAGTAAGACAAGAGAGAGAGAGGGGTGGGTAGATTGCATTTTCTTGGACTGTAAGAAGGCTTTTGACATAGTTCCACACGAGATTAGTGCATAACATGGAGGACCAGGCAGGTATAACAGGAAAGGCACTGCAATGGATCAGGGAATACCTGTCGAGAAGACATCAGAGAGTGATGGTATGAGACGAAGTTTCAGAGTGGGCGCCTGTGACGAGCAGGGTTCCTCAGGGGTCAGTCCTAGGACCGGTGCTGTTTCTGGTATATGTGAATGACATGATGGAAGTAATAGACTCCGAAGTGTCTTTGTTTGCAGATGCTGTGTTGATGAGAAAAATCCAATCAAACGAAGACCAGGCAGAATTACAAAGGGATCTGGACAGGCTTCAGGCCTGGTCCAGAAACTGGTTCCTGGAGTTCAACCCCACCAAGTGCAAAGTCATGAAGATTGGGAAAAGGCAAAGAAGACCGAAAATGGAGTACAGTCTAGGGAGCAGAGACTACAAACCTCACTTAAGGAAAAGGATCTTGGGGTGAATATAACACCAGGCACATCTCCTGAGGAGCACATTAACCAAATAACTGCTGCAGCATATGGGCGCCTAGCAAACCTAAGAACAGCATTTCGACATCTCAATAAGGAATCATTCAGGACCCTGTACAACGTGTATATCAGGCCTATATTGGAGTATGCAGCACCAGTTTGGAACCCACACCTAGCCAAGCACGTACGGAAACTAGAGGAAGTGCAAAGGTTTGACAACAAGACTAGTCTCAGAGCTAAGGGGCATCTCCTACGAGGAAGGTTAAGGGAAATCGACCTGACGACACTGGAGGACAAGAGAGATGGGGGGATATGGCAACGACAGACTGTTCTAGAGATGGGACACAGCAACATGGGGTCACAATTGGAAGTTGAAGACTCAGATGAATCACAGGGATGTTAGGAAGTATTTCTTCTGTCACAGAGTTGTCAGAAAGTGGAACAGTCTGGGAAGTGATGTAGTGGAGGCAGGGTCCATACATAGCTTTAAGAAGAGTTATGATAAGCTCATGGAGCAGGAAGAGTGACCCAGTAGCTACCAGTGAAGAGGCGGGGCCAAGAGCTGTGAATCGACCCCTGCAACCGCAACTAGGTTAGTACACACACACACAGAATCACTGACGGGCCTCTGAGGTGAAGATGAGGGCGGCGTCGGTAGCATTGCGACTCAGCAGGAAGTGTTCCGTGGCGGTCATCCACTGGTAGTTGGAAAGCTGTACCCTGACGTAGGGGATGCCGTAGGTTGCTGCGGTTTCCCGTGCCTGCGTCCACCCACCAGCTGTCACGTCCACCACCACCGCCACACCATTGTACAGCGCCGAGCACACTGTCAGAGAAAACATTACTACCTCATGGAGTCAGAGCAGTCAGGAGTCTGGCAGGGTAAGTAAGTAAGTAAGTTTATTCAGGTATACACAAATACAGTTACATAGAATTATCATACATAGCAGCATATGTGTAGAGAACCTAGGATAACCCAAAAAGTCAGACAGAGTGACTTATTTCCATTGGGAAAGGGGTAGGTTCCACATACTGTAAGTCCCCGAGAAGTCTGAAATCTGATTAACGTCAGTGGCTTACAATATTGTCTAAAAGTATTATTTATGTTCGTCTAGCTTATTGTACCAGCTAGTGTTATCATCCTACCTGGGTTGCTGTATTGTTTTAATTGCTCTATTGTATGGCTTATCAGATTGCATACTTTATTTCAGTTTGGTTTATTACCTGATATTTTATCTAACTTACTGTTCCCCTCCCACCCATTCCACTCCGTGCACTCTCGTGACCCCAGCCTTACACTTCTGCTGGGAGTCGTCTTCAGCAGCGTCCAGCGACACCTTCACCACCACCTGCAAGAGTGTGAGCCCCGTTGTCTTCTGCGCCTGCGACACAGCCTCATCCAGCCAAGCCACACCCTCCTGCAGTGACTCGTCCAGCGTGCTCACTGTAACACGGGAAGTGTTCATCACTGTGCTAGGGATAGTATCTAGTTTTTGATGATGCTTAAATTAAAAATTATTATTTTTGCCCTAGTCAGGCACTGGAGCATACTGGAGTAGCAACTCTAGAAAGAAAAAAATATGAATCTGGCGAGCATTTTCTTTGCTTTTCCTTGTTTTCATATTTTCCTAACACCCGTGTGGGTATCAACTTCTTATCTAAGGATACATCACCATGTAGGCTAGTGGATCTTAGAGTAATGAACGTGCGAGCATTTGATCAAACACCTGCATCAGGAGACTGCGTTACTCCCTGACAAATGAACCACTATCTTCTATTAAGCAATGCTGCTTGCAATTAGACCTACAGGATGACTGGCTGTCCTAGTGCTTTTAATTCTGCCATCTCTCATGATAAAAGGGCTTTTGTCTCAAACCCACTTCATAGGGACGAGACCTGTGCTTCGCCTTCATTGTATTTGCAAATTTACAAACTATTATTAACCCCCCTTGGTACTTTACATATTAAACTTGCATTTTATTAATAACTCTTCTCCTATATCCGACTGAAAAAACTGAAAAGATGTGTTCACTTTGCTGATACTTACAAAGGTCTCGCCTGTTATTTTAAGAACCATATCTATCCCATATGTTAGTCGTTTCCAAAATTATCTATCCCAGTTTGAACCTTCATAGAAGCTTCTTGATGTACAAGTTCATGTATATAATATTTCAGATATAAATCCAAGCTACTATTTTGTTTCTGACGCTCGCCTCTGTCTGTACATTATTTAAAATGTTAATTTTTAAAATGCGTGACTTGACCTGATCGGTTTCTCCTCACTTCTTTTTCCTCTGAACTGGCTACTGCCTTTTTCTTCTTTCTCACTCACAACAAACATGATAATGGTCCAGGACGCATCGAACCATCGCCCAATTTTCATTTCCAAATTGTGAGGTGTTGCTAAAAAGAAGCATATTTCCACAGCCATTTTAAGTGAACTCCTGACATTTCAAAAATAGATGCGTTTCGGTCTCTGTGCGATCAGAGAAGCATATCCTCGTATACCATAAGCCCAACCACCTTTTCTGCAATACATGCAAAAAAATAGTACAGAGTGGAGCATAAATTTATAATGTAGCTAAATATCAGGGTTGCACACAAATCAGACGAGGCATTCAAAAATTATCGAATGAAAATTATTATCCCGTTTCTTCAATAAAAATAGCAAATTTCCATCCACACCTCCCAGAATCAACTAAAACCGTCCATTAAGTGAGACACACCAACTTTGCAAGTTTAAACCCAATCAGGAGATGTATTCCCCTAGTTATGTAGTTATGGCACATAGACCAGTATCCCCAAATGCACCATCATATTTAAGTTTGAAGACGCTCAGAAGTTGAATTCTCAAGTTATATTTTTCAACAGTCATGTACAATATGAGAGTATAAGCAGGAGACATGATAAAGACACTCACCTATGGTAAGCTGGGCCAGGGACGCCCTCGCTAGCACTAAGATAATACATGGGACGCACGCTGCCATGACCGCTTGCTGCTGCTGTTGCTGCTGCTGCTGCTGTTGCTGCTGCTGCTGCAAATAATGGCGTTAATGCTAGTTGGAATGCTACTGCTGCAGGTAGCAGTGGTGGGGCCACTACTACTGGTAATGTTACTAATAGCGCTGCTGATGCTGAAGGTGGTGGTGCTACTGCTGGAGATGCTAATGATGGAGGTGGCAGCACTACTGCTAGTGATGTCACTGCTGTAGGTATGCTGATGCTACTGCTGGTGAGATTACTGTAGGTGGTGGCGTTATCCTGTTATATAGTCACACTGCGGCGAGAGCCTTTCTATGAAGCACTCTCTACCTACCTCCACACTGTGAAACACTATCTACCGTCACACTGTCTGTGAAACACTATCTACCGTCACACTGTGAAACACTATTTACAGTCTGTCTGTGAAACACTATCTACCGTCACACTGTCTGTGAAACACTATCTACCGTCAGACTGTGAAACACTATCTATCGTCACAGTCGGTGAAACACTCAACCGTCGCACTGTGCAACACTATCTACCGTCACATTGTCTGTGAAACACAATCTACCGTCACACTGTCTGTGCAACACTATCTACCGTCACACTGTCTGTGAAACACTATCTACCGTCAGACTGTGAAACACTATCTATCGTCACAGTCGGTGAAACACTCAACTGTCGCACTGTGCAACACTATCTACCGTCACACTGTCTGTGAAACACTATCTACCGTCACACTGTCTGAAACACTATCTACCGTCACAGTCTGGGAAACACTCTACCGTCGCACTGTGCAACACTATCTACCGTCACACTGTCTATGAAACACTATCTACCGTAGCACTGTGAAACACTACCGTCACAGTCTGTGAAACACTCTACAGTCGCACTGTGAAACACTATCTACCGTCACACTGTCTGTGAAACATTATCTGCCGTCACACTGTCTGTGAAACACTATCTACCGTCACACTGTCTGTGAAACACTATCTACCGTCACACTGTCTGTGAAACATTATCTGCCGTCACACTGTCTGTGAAACACTATCTACCGTCATACTGTCTGTGAAACACTATTTACCGTCATACTGTGAAACTATCTACCGTCACACTGTCTGTGAAACTACCGTCACAGTTTCTGAAACACTCTACCGTCGCACTGTTCAACACTATATACCGTCACACTGTGAAACACTATCTACCGTCACACTGTGAAACACTATCTACCGTCACACTGTGAAACACTATCTACCGTCACACTGTGAAACACTATCTACCGTCACACTGTGAAACACTATCTACCGTCACAGTCTGTGAAACACTATCTACCGTCACACTGTGAAACACTATCTACCGTCGCACTGTGAAACACTATCTACCGACACAGTTTGTGAAAACACTATCTACCGTCACACTGTCTGTGAAACACTATCTACCGTCGCACTGAGAAACACTCTCTACCGTCACACTGTGAAACACTATCTACCGTCACACTGTGAAACACTATCTACCGTCACAGTCTGTGAAACACTCTACCGTCGCACTGTGAAACACTATCTACCGTCACACTGTGAAACACTACCGTCACAGTCTGTGAAACACTCTACCGTCACACTGTGAAACACTACCGTCACAGTCTGTGAAACACTCTACCGTCGAACTGTGAAACACTATCTACCGTCGCACTGTGAAACACTACCGTCACAGTCTGTGAAACACTCTACCGTCGCACTGTGAAACACTATCTACCGTCACACTGTGAAACGCTACCGTCACAGTCTGTGAAACACTCTACCATCGCACTGTGAAACACTATCTACCGTCACACTGTGAAACACTACCGTCACAGTCTGTGAAACACTCGACCATCACACTGTGAAACACTACCCTCACAGTCTGTGAAACACTCTACCGTCACACTGTGAAACACTACCGTCACAGTCTGTGAAACACTCTACCGACACACTGTGAAACTATCTACCGTCATACTGTGAAACACTATCTACCGTCGCACTGTGAAACACTACCCTCACAGTCTGTGAAACACTATCTACCGTCACACTGTGAAACACTATCTACCGTCGCACTGTGAAACACTACCCTCACAGTCTGTGAAACACTATCTACCGTCACACTGTGAAACACTATCTACCGTCACACTGTGAAACACTACCGTCACAGTCTGTGAAACACTCTACCGTCACACTGTGAAACTATCTACCGTCATACTGTGAAACACTCTACCGTCACACTGTGAAACACTATCTACCGTCGCACTGTGAAACACTATCTACCGTCACACTGTGAAACACTATCTACCGTCACACTGTGAAACATTATCTACCGTCACACTGTGAAACACTACCGTCACACTGTGAAACACTATCTACCGTCATACTGTGAAACACTACCGTCACACTGTGAAACACTATCTACCGTCACACTGTGAAACACTATCTACCGTCACACTGTGAAACATTATCTACCGTCACACTGTGAAATACTATATACCGTCACACTGTGAAACACTACCGTCACACTGTGAAACACTATCTACCGTCACACTGTGAAACACTACCGTCACACTGTGAAACACTATCTACCGTCATACTGTGAAACACTACCGTCACACTGTGAAACACTATCTACCGTCACACTGTGAAACACTATCTACCGTCACACTGTGAAACACTATCTACCGTCACACTGTGAAACATTATCTACCGTCACACTGTGAAACACTACCGTCACACTGTGAAACACTATCTACCGTCACACTGTGAAACACTATCTACCGTCACACTGTGAAACACTATCTACCGTCACACTGTGAAACACTATCTACGTCATACGTGAACATACCGTCACATGTGAAACACTATCTACCGTCACACTGTGAAACACTATCTACCGTCACACTGTGAAACACTACCGTCACACTGTGAAACACTATCTACCGTCACACTGTGAAACACTACCGTCACACTGTGAAACACTATCTACCGTCACACTGTGAAACACTACCGTCACACTGTGAAACTATCTACCGTCATACTGTGAAACACTACCGTCACACTGTGAAACACTATCTACCGTCACACTGTGAAACACTATCTACCGTCACACTGTGAAACACTATCTACCGTCACACTGTGAAACATTATCTACCGTCACACTGTGAAACACTACCGTCACACTGTGAAACACTATCTACCGTCACACTGTGAAACACTATCTACCGTCACACTGTGAAACACTATCTACCGTCACACTGTGAAACACTATCTACCGTCATACTGTGAAACACTACCGTCACACTGTGAAACACTATCTACCGTCACACTGTGAAACACTATCTACCGTCACACTGTGAAACACTACCGTCACACTGTGAAACACTATCTACCGTCACACTGTGAAACACTATCTACCGTCACACTGTGAAACACTACCGTCACACTGTGAAACACTATCTACCGTCACACTGTGAAACACTACCGTCACACTGTGAAACACTACCGTCACACTGTGAAACACTATCTACCGTCACACTGTGAAACACTACCGTCACACTGTGAAACACTACCGTCACACTGTGAAACTATCTACCGTCATACTGTGAAACACTACCGTCACACTGTGAAACACTATCTACCGTCACACTGTGAAACACTACCGTCACACTGTGAAACACTATCTACCGTCATACTGTGAAACACTACCGTCACACTGTGAAACTATCTACCGTCATACTGTGAAACACTACCGTCACACTGTGAAACACTATCTACCGTCACACTGTGAAACACTACCGTCACACTGTGAAACACTACCCTCACAGTCTGTGAAACACTACCGTCACACTGTGAAACACTATCTACCGTCATACTGTGAAACACTACCGTCACACTGTGAAACACTATCTACCGTCACACTGTGAAACACTACCGTCACACTGTGAAACACTACCCTCACAGTCTGTGAAACACTACCGTCACACTGTGAAACACTATCTACCGTCATACTGTGAAAACACTACCGTCACACTGTGAAACACTATCTACCGTCACACTGTGAAACACTACCGTCACACTGTGAAACACTACCCTCACAGTCTGTGAAACACTACCGTCACACTGTGAAACACTATCTACCGTCATACTGTGAAACACTACCGTCACACTGTGAAACACTATCTACCGTCACACTGTGAAACACTACCGTCACACTGTGAAACACTACCCTCACAGTCTGTGAAACACTACCGTCACACTGTGAAACACTATCTACCGTCACACTGTGAAACACTACCGTCACACTGTGAAACACTATCTACCGTCACACTGTGAAACACTATCTACCTTCAGTATCCCAAGTTGCTGCTCAATAACACAAATTATTCCTACAATAAACAGCAATAACATTTACAAAAAAATGCAGTACTAACGTTTATACATTACATATTTTTCAGTATTACGAACAAGTAAATCACAAATGGGCGGATAAATAAATATGGATTATTATCATTATTGTTATTATTATTAATATTATTATTTATATTCATAGGAAGTGATAAATCCATAGGAGTCGTACAGCTACAATGGAATAGGAGGTAGTCAGGTTCGAGCCGAGGAAGGAGAAGGTAACTCCAATTCCTCGCCTCGAGAGCCCATCACCTGGATCAAGGCATCTCTCCGAAAGAGTCAGACGCGAAGCAGAATGATGTTAATATCATTTTTCTACCTTCTCTCACCCGGTTGCTGGCTGAAGTGAGCTGGAGTTGTGCTCTTCACCACAAGTTTGGCAGCGCTGACATTCAGACATAACACATAAGAGTAACCACCTCTGAAAGAATGAGAGAAAAACTGACATAAGTTTGAGCAACTTATCATTATATTATTACCGAGATTTATTTGTGACCAAGTGCAGTGTGTGGGGGGGGGGTGGATTCACCTATACGTGGTTGAAGGGTTCCGAATCCTAGCTCCTGGCCCCGCCTCTCAACTTGCCGGTTGCCAGATATACTCCCTCCTAGATCCTTGGGCTTTACCATACCTTCTCGTAAAACTATATGTGGAACCTGCCTTCACCACTTCGTCGAAGTCGTTCCACTCCCCGACCAACTAAGACTAATATTTCCTGACAGCCCTATGGTTCATCTGTCTTTAAATTCCAGCTGTGTTCCCGAGTTCCCGTTTCCTGCCTCTTAAAGTGCCTGTTCCTGTTTCTCCTATCAATCTGCCTAAGCGTTTTGCTTGTTATCAAGTCTTCCTTGGTTCTTCTCTCCTTCAATGCCGTTAGATTCAATTCCGCTAGCCTTACGTAGCTTCTTCCCCGTTGCTTCGGAACTATTGTCGTTGTATACTCCTGCACCTTCTCCGGTTTTATAACACGTTTTTAAATGTATGAGTTCCATACCTGTGCTGCATACTCGATGGGCCTTACAAATGATATATGACTGTCCCAGAATGTCTCTTTCTTGAAGCTCTTGAAGGCTACTCCTAGATTTGCCGGACGAGCATTGACTGTAGAGGTCATGCGGTTGTAAACCTCTGGCGATATGTTAGGCACTATGTTCAACCCTAGGTATTTCTCCTTGATTGAGGTCTTCAGCCTTGTCCCCTGAGCCTGTATGCCATGTTCGATCTTCTGGTCCCATCCCTTTGAACTTGCTGGGGTTAAATTCCAGCAACAATTTAGTTGACCAGTCTTGTAGTGTGTCCAGATCAATTTGCAGCCTTTCCCTATTCTCATCTATTTTTATTCTCATTAATTTTACATAATTATTAGATTGGAGGGAAGGAGTATGGAGGAAGTAAGCATGTTCGGATATCTGGGAGTGGACTTGTCGGCAGATGGTTCTATGATAGATGAAGTGAACCACAGAATTGACTAGGATAAAAAGCTGGGTAGTGCACTGTGGAAATAAAGAACTTAATATATGGAGGCAAAAATTGGGAATGTACCAGAGTATAGTGGAACAATGTTTTATGGGTGTGAAGCATGGGTTTTGAATGTTGCAGCAAAGAGGAAGTTAGAGACAGTAGAGATGCCGTGTTTAAGGGCAATGTGTGGTGTGAATATTATGCATAGAACACGGAGGTTGTAGATTAGGAGGTGTGGAGTTACCAAAGGTATATTATTCAGAGGGATGAGTTGTTGAGAAGGAGCGATAGGGATTAGGAAAAGTTGAAGGGAGAAGGTAAAGGAGCTTTTGAGTACTAGGGGCTTGGACATCCAACACTTGTGCGAGTGTTAGGAGCGAGAAGAGGAAATGGTTTTTATGATTTGATGTGTTGTTGGAGTGTGAGCAAAATAAAAAAATAAAATACATTAAATAACATTAAAACTAAGATTGAAAGACCTGGGGATGAACACACCAAACCTGTCGCTAACTCTACATCTGGATTCACTGTTAGATATGATAACTCTCAAAAGGAACCGGAAGTAAGCCACACCAGGTAATCGATAAACAAGGGCGAGGTCCAAGAGTTCCAGCTCGACCCCTACTGACAGAACAACCTGTGTACACTGGTGAGACTACATGAATACACGCGAACGCACGAAATTGCGATACACTAAATTATTCCTTGGGTTCATTTTCTTCAGGCTGCTGCCAGGTAATCATATATGCTACATATATATACATTAATAATTATAGAAAAAAAACTTTAAAAAACAAAGATGTTTAGCTTACGCTCACTTCTTGAAATAATATGTTGACAGTATCGATGGCAGACAATATAACTGGTTGTACCAAGAATTTTCCAGAGCGGCCGCTAGGAAAGATAAAAAGTGTTGCGGTGTTAATTTATTATGAGGGAATTGTCGATTAGCAGCGAGGTTATAGACGACGCTGCTCGATAATGTTTTGTTATCAGTGTACAACCCCGCCCCTCCTGTCTCCAACACAATGATGATGGTGTCATGGTGCAGCCTAGCACCATCCTCGATATATAAATGTTTTGACCTGGTACTCAACGTCAGTTTCTTCACTTCTCCATTTTTTTTTTCAAACTCTATTATCTTTATTTTAAGGTTGGTGGAGGGAAAAAATAGGTTATTAATGTTTATATTAGGATAAAAGGAAATAATTATGTTCTTTACATTAGATTGTCCTGTCTATCAACGTTCTGACAGGATTCACTGTTGATGTCTCCGCCTCGTCGCGGCAAGTCCCATCTCTGATTCAGATTCTCTCTTTGACTTTATAACAGAAACTAACCTGTTGCACCAGTTTTGATTTGCATCTTACTCTCCCACTCTTACCTACCTTCACTAACCTCTACCCTCGCACATCCATGCCCCCCCTTACTACTACCCTTCGTACATTCCTACTTTCACACATCCCTCCCTCCAGCACTGTATGATCCTTTCAGATTTAGCGTTTAAATTGATGATGATGACGATAATAATACTACTACTAATAATAATTTATTCATAGAAGAGTGTCACTGCTACCTATGTGGCATCTGGAGGATCTGGACCAGTGAAGATCAAAATATACAGCGCCTCAAATTTTCATGTGTGGTGTATGTCATGGATTCGACAAGGTGCTAAAAACATTCCTTAAAGATTCTAGACCATACTGACAAGATAGCATCACGCAATTGCTGCAGATTTGTCAGCTACACATTCATGCTGCAAATTTCCTCCCCTCAAGGGAGGTTCCTTGATGCTGGTGAGGGGCTCTTGATCTAGGGAATTGGATCTGTGCTCCAGTTCCCTGAATTGAGCCTGAATACCTTCCATCCCCCCACATGCGCTGTATAATCCTACGGGTTTAGCTCTCCTGTCATTATAATAATAATAATAATGCAAATTTCCTGTTCCACTACATCCCAAAGGTTTACACCGAATTCTGACCCTACTATCTTCATGTCGCAGCAGAAATACACCTCAGGGTTCGACATGTATGTTCAGAGAAGCTCCTCTGCATACCACTGTTCCAACGTGTGGTTGAGTTACTGTGGCCTTCCTGTCAGCTAGAGCCAGTCTGGCCATTTTCCTCTGATCTCTCCCACTAACAAGGCGTTTTAGCCCACAGATGCCACTCACTGGATGTTTTATGTTTTCTTGCAAATTTTCTTGAAAATTCCAGATCAATAGTTTCTGAGATATTAAACCCACGGTCAAAGTCACATCACATTGCCCATTGTTTTTCAGTCTGAACAATAACTGAACCTCTTCACCATGTCTGCATGCCTTTAAGTACTGAGGTGCTCACACGTGAATGACTGATTAGATATTTGCATTAACGAGAAAATGTATAGGTGTACCTAATAAAGTGGCCAATAAGTGCATTGATGGCCAAGTGGACTAAGGCGTCTGGGAATTTGGGCAGGCTTGTCGAAAGACGTGGTTGGGGTGGAAGTGGACGAGTGTCCGAGTTAAGTAGCAGAAGACAACGAGGTAGCAGTGACCGCTACATCAGTTATAAGCACGACCTGCTTAGAATGGGTTTGCGAACTCTGACGTTCAACGCTGTAAGTTGCTTTGTTGACTAATGTTATTTATTAAATTTTGCGTACGACTATCAATACAGTAACATCTATTATACATACTACCTGTGGTATATATTATGTATTAAAGCAGGGAGGTGCCTGTAATGTTATGCTTGCTGCCGCTGCGGCCATGACAAGCATAACACAGTTTGGATCACAAGAGGCTATGCTGCAACTAATAACTTTCTCAGCTAATTTAACATGTAGAGTTTTTGTGTGAAGTAGTTATACACGCTCAGGTATGTAGTACATGTGACACACACCTTCGATTCTACTTGGTGTGCTATTTTAGTGTTTGTCTATCAGCTGTGACAGCAAGAATTGTACCGCCAATGTTCCTTTAGTTAAGCAATTTACAGTCATAAAGAGCTATTTATAACAGGCATTATTATTATTATAATAAAAAAGAAGCGCTAATCCGCAAGGGCTATACAGAGTGTGGGATATCTGGCATTAATTTTGATCTGAAGATGAAGACGGGTTGCAGAACAAGCTTTTATTGAAAATAAATAAAAGTTTGTTTTGCAAGTTGTGTCTTTGTCTTTATACTTGTCGTCAATAAGCTATTTCATCCAATAATTTTGAGTAATATTTCTATATGGTGCCTCAACAGATGAGTCCTCCGTAAGGGACTTGACCTTCCGAGCTCTCGGACGAGTGGAGAGTATAGCGACCCGGCCGTACGAACGAGTAGTGGTAATGAAAGCCTGGAGTTTACCTGGAGAGGGTTTCGGGGGTTAACGACCCCGCGGCCCGGTCTGAGACCAGGCCTAATGGTGGATCAGGGTCTGATCAACCAGGCTGTTACTGCTTGCCGCACGCAAGCTGACGTACGAACCACAGCCCGGTTGGTCAGGTACTGACTTTAGATGCCTGTCCAGTGCCTTCTTGAAGACAGCCAGGGGTCTATTGGTAATCCCCCTTATGTATGCCTCGAGGCAATTGAACAGTCTTGGGCCCCGGACACTTATTGTGTTGTCTCTCAGTGTACTCGTGGCGCCCCTGCTTTTCATCGGGGGAATGTTGCATCTCCTGCCGAGTCTTTTGCTTTCATAGGGAGTGATTTTCGTGTGCAGGTTTGGTACCAATCCCTCCAGGATCTTTCAAGTGCATATTATCATGTATCTCTCTCGCCTACGTTCCAGGGAATACAGATCAAGGACGTTGAACCGTTCCCAGTAGTTTTGGTGCCTTATCGTACTTACGTGTGCCATGAAAGTTCTCTGTACACTCTCCAGGCCTGCAATGTCGCCAGCCTTGAAGGGGGCCGCTAGTGTACAGCAGTATTCCAGCCTAGAGAGCACAAGCGATTTGAAGAGAATCATCATGGGCTTGGCGTCCCTAGTTTTGAAGGTTTTCATTATCCATCCTATCATTTCCTAGCGGATGAGGTAGATATATTGCTGTGGTCTTTGAAGGCGAGATTCTCTGACATTATCACTCCCAGGTCCTTCACATTACTTTTCTGCTCTATTGTATGGTTAGAATTTGTTGTATACCATGACACATTTTTAATTTCTTCAAGTTTCCCATATCTGAGTAGTTGAAATTTCTCCTCGTTGATCTTCATATTGTTTTGAGTGGCCCATTCGAAGATTTGGTTGATGTCCGCTTGGAGTCTCGCAGTGTCTTCGATGGAGGTCACTGCCATGGTAATCCGGGTGTCATCCGCAAAGGAAGACACGGAGCTATGGCTTACATCTCTATGTCAGAAATAAGGATGAGGAATAGAATGGGAGCGAGTACTGTGCCTTGTGGAGCAGAGCTTTTTACCATGGCTGCCTGGGACTTTACTCTGTTTACTATTACTCTTTGTGATTTATTTGTCAGGAAGTTGTAGATCCATCTACCAACTTTTCCTGTTATTCCTTTATCACGCATTTTGTGTGCTATTACACCATGGTCACACTTGTCGAAAGCTTTTGCAAAGTCTGTGTATACTACATCTGCATTTTGTTTATCTTCTACAGCATCCAGAACCTTGTCATAGTGGTCCAGTAGCTGGAACAGGCAGGAGCGACCACCTCTAAACCC